GATCAACCAGTCCACCCAAGCTGCCACAGAAAGGAGTTGGTGAGTATATGTAGCCCATTCCTGTTTGAAAGAAGTCAGTCATCCATGTAATAATGAAATTGTATCCCCATAGCATGAAGATGATGAGAAAAAGCCCAGACCATGCAACAAAACACATAAGGAGCCGAGGCAAGCCTGAAGGGGAGGGCTCACAATTGTTAAACCACCCTGAGATGGACAAACCAAAGATAAGGTTGAGACAGAAGTGCTTTCAGGATGTGGAGGTAAACATTGATGACATCCATTTTCATCATCTACAACCCTGTGGAAAACGCCCATCTCAGGGTGAGAAAGGAAACAGGGCAAGGAGAAACCGGAGGTGGGGAAAGAAACTGGATAGCGAATCCTTCTGACAGAACCCATATCACCAATTGATCATCGATGAAGGGATGCCAGTGAGGAAGAAACTCCAACAGTCGAGCTCCAACAAGATCTGAACCAACAGAGTAGTCACCGGTACCGGTGGCGATGAGAACAGGAAGCATATGAGGCTCTGACTGAGACAGACGGGTGATAAAATTCATAAGGATGGAGTCCTAGCAGGCTGATTTCATCCAAGGCTCGATGGTTTCTGGGACTGTCTCAAAGATATAACGTCTCAGAAAAGGTGCAAGACGTACGTCCCTGAGATATGTTGAGGGTAAATTGACCTGAGCCAAGATCGTGTCCCTACCTATAAGGTCCCAACAACAAAGAACCCACTTAAGTAACACCAGAGCCAAGGACAAAATGTGGGATAATGTAGATGAGAGAAGGTGAAGGGTATCCATGGAAAAACTTTCTCCGAGAGGAAATGCATGGAAGAAAGATACTGTAGAAGGTTAGTTAGGGTAAGACAAAGGTGAGAATATTGAGCATGGATAAGACTAACATTAGATTCGGAGCTGCCTCCCAAACATGTAACAATGAACCCAACAACTGCTAATCCAAAAACAGATAGTCCACACAATGGTAAGAAAGGGTGTACTGATCAGAAGCCCTCTGGGGGAATGGCATGCTGATCCCCTCACATAATTGTGAGACAAATTGATTAGCATGTACCCAAATATCTGAGAAAGGAGTAAATATCAAAAATGAGTGAGAAGATGTCTCATATAACAAGGAAGGATGAGGTGAATAAGATATAGGGGAAAGGGATAAAATATCACAAACCTGAGACATGAAATCTGTGAATACCACATTAAGCGTGAACTGCAGAATTCATCTCAAGAAAATGTGCACAAATTATCGAGTGCAAAATATAGTGACAAGAATGAACTGGTATAAATAAGAATAAACTAAAAAAGGAACCACTTCGTGCGAGAATACAAAAAATTGTTTGTCACATGGGAAGCACTAAGCACACAAAAGAAGACATCTTAACTCAAATGCTGCCAAAACAGGAAGTGAATAATCACACGTGTCACGTGAGCATATCATGCTACTATTGGTTAAGAGATGATGCATGGTGATTTATATGAGAGACATGTTGGAATATAGTAATTCCAACAAAGGGGGTGGGGCGCAAGGCTTGTAGTATGCATAAAGAAAGTTTGCATATAGAGAGAAGCACTGAATGAGAATAGCTTAATCTTGTGAAAAGAGTTAGGTACCATATCAGAAGCACTTTTTCTACTTTTTGTTAAATATGCTAGAAAAACTATAAACAATGTGTGAAATGCATTTATAAGCAATCTTCTGATAAAATTGTAACATTAAATATCTTTTTTTTTTATTGAATTCTGAAGGCAGTACTGACATTCCTGTATAGGTTAAACATCACACCAATCTGATACTTAGCATATATTCAATATAAATAATGATAAATAATTTAATTAAAGAAATTTTCTTTACCGGAAAATAAATAAAAAATGCATTATTTTGTACACATACATAACTGTTACATAAGTCATGTTTCACATTTCACAGTCTGGTGATAATAGTATGAAACAAATGTCACATATAATACAAAGTAACAGACAAACAATATAAAATTAAACAAAAGGATATCCTAAATAGCTGCAGCATTTGAAATTCTTTTAGGCAGGATTAGAGTAAATTAATCTATGAGATCTTGGGCATGGTTAAATACATCAATAAAAAGGTTTGACCTCCTGAGTCCAAAACTGTACTTAGATCTAAAATTGGTCAAGAGATGATACGGCTAAGAGCTAAAAGTTTGTACTTGAAATAAAAAACAAAGTCAGAGCTGTTCTATGAGCTGCTATGCCACAGCTAAAATAGAGTAACATGGAATCCACTACTGTTATCATTATATGTAAAATGCATTTCCTGATAACATTTTATCAAAAATTAACACATTGTCATGGGCACATTTTGCTGCCATATAGTGTGTAGCTACTGAGTGGGCATATCAATGCAATATCAAAATTAGAGGAATCTGGGTTACACTATCATGATAAGTAACACTGAATCCCACAGCAAGAAAGGACAAAGTAACAAATAAAATGCCCCTAATTAAGAAAACGTGCAATAGTATTCATTAACATTAAGGATTACAAAGAAGTGTTTAATTAGTGGCTACATTGCTATCAATATTTGGTTAATAATCAATCAGTCAGTTGTGCCTGACCAATTTTCAAAGATGGTTTTATAACTAATTTCCACTAATTTCAAGGCTTATAACATGTCAATCATAAATAAGTACTGAAAACAGAAACATTCATGTCCAAAGGAAATAAAGAGAGTAAAATTACCTGATTACAAAGAAAATATCTCTACATCCTTTTCTTTGACACTCTCTTATTAATTAAAAATATAAACAAAATAAACTACTATCTAGCAATAATCTACATGAACATATAACATTTTAGTACTTTATACAAACTTTAGGCTTTTCAGCAAATATCAGCAGAGGTATTAATGTAGACCTAACTTTAAATATTAAAAGAAAAATAGACAATGCAGTTAAAATATTTATAACAAAAAGAAAAGAAAAAAATCTGATTATTAAACAAAATATATGTATATATACTACTAAAACTCTGAGATTGTTTATCTATAATTAAATACAGCAATGAGAAATGAGAATTGAAACAGAATAAAACAAGTTTCGTTAAAATCGGGCCATGGGTTACCGATTTAGCACCGTTTTTCGAGTCACTTTTATGAAATTTTCTAGCAGGAGTAATTTTACATCACACTACTGTTCGCACTCTTTACTAAACTTCTTTGTTCAAATCTATTTCCCTATTTCGTCAAAAGATGGCAACATAAGCGCAATAAGTTTAAGATGTTTATCATTGAACAACATACAAGCTAATGTAACATACTGCATTGATCATTGAAAATGAATTTGACACTGTAATGTAATTTTCATAAGCTGTTTTGCTTTGTGAAGCATTAATTAGAAACAAACATGCCACTGAATGTAGCATTTAGGTGTTGTGCTGACTTATGAAAGTATCACATACATCTGTCTATCTTCTATATACTACTAAAATGCTGAGATTGTTTGTTTGTTTGCTTGTCTGTAAGTAATTACAGTAAAAACGGCACACAATAGTGCCATATTTGTAAGAATATGGTACCCCCTGTATTGAGAATAGAAACAGAATAAAACAAGTTTCATTAAAATCGGGCCACGAGTTACCGAGTTAGCACCGTTTTTCGAGTCACTTTTATTAAAATTTCTAGCAGGAGTAATTTTACATCACACTATCATTCGCGCTCTTTACAAAACTTTTTCGTTCAAATCTATTTCCCTGTCATTGTTCCCATCTTCATTAAAAGGCGTAAGATGACAAAAACAAGATCTTGAAGAATTTCTCAATAATGTGCCTTGGTTATGGTAGGTAAGGAAATGAGAAAATTTTCTCAGTCAAAAATCATTTGTTGTGAGACAGTGAGAAAGATTTTTCATTTGGTGAATTTCTTTGTGTATTAGTTATCAAGTTTTGCTGTTTCTTGCAGTAATTTGAACAAGTAAGTATGAAATGTTTTTCTGAAATAGCTTTTACAGATAATAATTACGTTCTAATAAACCATGAATAACATTACTATTATCTGTTATTTCTTATTTTCAGGCGTTTTGAATCAACTGTGAATAAGGTTTATTCATCTCAACACCTAAGAACTCTGACTTCACTTTTTTAAAAAATTAAATGGTCTTTCCTTTTACTCCCAATCAGC